AATTTACACTGTATTTGTTAGACGAAGCTTTTGGAAAGGACAGACACGCATAAGTACTACCTGGAGGACTGAAGCTCCACTGTGGAGAAACTGAAGACCACTTTCGGCTGAGTCAATTCCACCAGTGGCCAAAATGGGAAATCCAGGCAAAGCACGAGCGATGGACGTCACAGCTTTCAAAGCAATAGGTCTGATCGCTGTGCCTACAGAAAATGAGAATGATCGATGGTTAGCATATTGACCACTTGAGCATATTGCCCACTTGAGCATATTGCCTTCTAATCACTATTATGTAATAGTGATTACACTAGAAAAAATTTAATTTTCTTTATCTCTATTTAAGAAACATACATAAGTAATACATAAACATTGCTGTGTTTCAAAGTATATTCATTTGTAAATAAATGTGTATTGATTTTAAATACCTCAATGCTATTATTTAATACAGATGTGTTACGCTACGCATGTGGGTATAGCAACCCTAGAAATCTCCCACAAAATACATGCATATTACAATCTGATATGTAGTAATGTGTAAAAGATTGTATAAAACATTCAAGCATCTGTTTTAAAAATGACAAGGAGCAGCAGACTTTGAGAAAGAAAATGATCACATACAGTGCATAAATAGACAGACATACAGCTTTGTTATATTTCTGCTAAGTATAAAGCAGCTGGTGTGAATACAAATACTCTAAAATTAAGCAAGGTGCTGATGAACTTACAAATTCCATATTGCTTTCTACATATATTTTCCATAATTTGATGGAACATAGTGAGCCTAATCTAATTTTTTCATACATTATGAAGTTTTAACCAAGTTAGAATTAACCAGAATTCAGTAATTAGGGAGTGTGTGTTTAATATTTTATACTTTATTCAGCCAGATATCACCAACATAGTATTCTCTAATCATAATGAAAATTTCATGGATGGGCAGAACACTTTGAGGTTGTACTGTACTAAAGCTGCTTTTCATACTCAAGGATTAACACATCCAGAGTAAATTAATGCTTTCATACCAGAGGAATATAATTTGACATTTCTGGTATGGACTCATAAGTCAATGGTCCTTTAAAGGCATGTTCTGAACTAAAAATAGTTATATTTGTGCAAGAATTTAACATTGCTTTTAACTAGGCTTCATAAAAACAAACTAGCAACTGGTAAAATCAGCCTTATGTGGTGAGTGCTTTATCATTTCTACCACCACCACAAGCATCTCACAGCATTCTCAATATGTACTTATTGGACTGCTCCTTTTGGGGAGGCACAAAGAAATTTCCTTAAAATCAGTGGTTTTCTCTGTATCTTGTTTATATTCATTTCAGATAAAATTGAATTTATGTGTAATAGATACTTTTGCACTCAACGTCAAAAATGTCTGTGGAAATATCTACTTGTTGCTTCCATACCTAAAAAGTTTTGTCTAGAAATTAGTGTTTTTCAGTCAAGACTGTTCAGTGCTGACCCTTCAGAAAATCATAACTGACATTACAAGGCATTAAGTTAGGAAAAATTAGAAACCGAATGTCAAAATTCTATTCCATTTCAAAATATCTATTAGTGACTTCTTAGTCAGTATGTTTTAACCATAAAGAAGGCTAACATAGTAGGCAGGAGAATGCTTACCAAGAACACACACACACACACACACACACACACACACACACACACACACATTTATATAACACATGTTATCTTTGGCTATACTAAAGAAATCTAAGAATAAAAGTAAAAGTATTTTTAAGATAATCTGTAACTTAAATAAACCTTTTATATAAACATATAACTATCTCTGCATAATATAACTGCCATATTCAATATAAACTAAACTGATGTCTTCTTTACATGTATGTTACTTTGAAGTAATAAAAAATATTGGGATTTTTTTTTTCTTATTTAGTGGGCCCTAGAGAGTAAAAGAAATTTGAGCTAAGAAGATAAATAATTTATTTCTAACTGCACTGTTAGAAGACTATCATTATTAACACTAAAGGGTAAAATTTCAAAGTGTTACACAGGGATTATTCCAATTGATATTAATGGGCAACAAATAGCAAATTCCCAGAACACAGCTTTGAAAATTTAACCAGTTACATTTAAAGGGCAACATTATCACGCAGGTGTTAAAAAAACGGCAAATCCTTGATGGCATTTGAAGATATTCAATTAGATCGATAAGACATTTTTTTATTTTATGTTTTTCTTCCTTCTCTAAAACTTTTCCAATCTACCTAATGAACATGAAAACCTTTCAAACTAATAAAGGTATCACTTTTTAAAAATTAAGAGTAATTATGTTCTCTGAGGAAATGTGATCCAAAAATGAAGAAACCGATCCTTCTGTTGCTAGGTAATAGTAAATTCAGTTTTAATTCTTATTATAAATTCCATTTGATTAGTTTTCTTTATAACTCAATTGATTTAATATGAAGTATAATCTATCTGTTCTCAGAATTTTTATGGAAAATAGATTTTAAAAATTACTTTCATTCACCATGAAAGATTTCTGGAAGGAACGTAAATGTCTATAAAGGATCTTTCTAAATTATTATGTAGAGATTTATTTTTAGTTTTAAAACAAGAGAAATGAAGAAATAATAGGCCGTAAAGAAGATACATATATCAACACCATATAGAGTTGTGCATATGTTAATTAAAATGCATAAAGATTTCCAGAATCACATATTGAGAAAAGGATTTTAAATCTGTCACTACTACTATCACTAGTGGTTTTAGATCAAAGACTAGGAAAAACGAAGCCAGTTTGAGAGGAAACTGAATGTGGACTTCATCCTTAGGAAAATGACAGGTTTAAATTAAAAAATTGAAATCCTATAAATTTAAATACATTAATAGGCAACACACAATCTAAATTAAGCCCTCATCTACACGGGGCGGCCACCTGAACCTGGCGGTAAAGCTCAGTTACATCAGGCCATTGTGTTTCGACTGTGTGGAACGCTCCAGTGAAAATCGAGCCATCCTGAATCCCCAAATTTTGAAACATGCTACAGTTTTGAAAAAAAATTAACAAAAAGTGAAGTAGACCTCTAAGTTCTAACATTTCAGCCAAGAGTTCTGATTTGTACAAAAAATGGCCCTTGTGGAAACACTGGTGGACTAGACTGAACTGTAACTTTTGGTATCCATTCAATCTAGGCCTTCCGTATAGTCATGAAATAAAAATCACTGTTGAATTCATAGATCTTTGATAAACTTCACAGAACACTTTTGAATTGCTATGTTCTAGAAAAAAAACATTTTAGTACATTAGAGATTTTGAATTAAAAGTTAACCAATCTGATTTTGATGCATTTTTTCTCTTAAGAAAACGATACTATCAACTGTCAAATGTCATTTTCAATGCAATTTTAAAAACACTATCATTAGCAATTGGATTATGTTTTGATATGTAAGTACTCATATATTAGAACTTAATCAGGTTCTTTACTTAGGCCTTATTTATCCATCATTCTGTCTGTCTATCCAAGAAATATTTATTAAGAACCTATCTTAAATAAAGATAATTGTATCTGAATCTGAAAAGCTTAAAAGAATCACCCCAGTTAGCTAGCTGTGCCCCATGCATAATGTCGCCCAACACAGGTACCCAAAACATTAGCCCCGGTGATCTTAGGAGGTTATTTCAAGGTAAATAATATGAATTCAATTATTCATTTTGTACAGATGTTCCATTAGGAAAAATTCACATTCACTTAAACATCATACTATATAAATACTATATATATACATATAAACACTATTAATATGAATTCTAGAAAGAAGGTAATTTGAGAATGAACTAGTTACAAATCAGGCAGACAATATAAACCAACTGCTTAGGCTGGAATTCTAGTTCCACTACTTACAAGCGATGTGACTTTGTGAAAATGTCTTAATTTTCCTTAACCAATGTTTTTTCATCTACAAAATAATAAAATTATAATAACACCTTCAGAGAGCTGTTTTGAGGATGAAATGACTTGATATAATAAGGATTTATGCATAATAAAAATTATACAGGCCTTTACTATTAAAATCTGTACTACCCATGAGAACAATTGATTTCAGAGGTAGCCTTTATTTAGTTTACTTTGATAGTGCCTTTTGTGTTGTTGCTTTGGGTTTAGAAATCTAATGAAACCATTTTTTTTTAAATTGGAGACAAAAGCATGATGCTTATGATGATAGAACTTTATATCCTCTGATACCTTAGGAGAACCACATATCATCCTCTCACTTTTCTTCTCTCCTAACAGCTTTCATTTAGTAGTGTCATAGTGCTGGCAAGATTAACTGACTCCAAATGTAAAAATCTCAAAAGCAAACATCAATATCTTTAAAAATGTATTTTTGAGAATCAAAAGGTCCATGCACTAAACCAATATGTAAGGGTTTTAATGACAACATAAGAACTCAAGTTTATTAGTGAAAAGGAGGCAGAGCTTTACTTTGCATGACTAAATTCTTGAAGAGAAAAGAAATTTTTAATGGGTAAGATAGCGTGGAACATATGCTAATTTTGGATAACTGGAATTTTGAATAATTGGGTTTAATTTTTTTTTTCCTAATCATTTGACTCCTAGGACAGCCATTGCTACACAATTAATTGTTAGAGTTAAGTCCACAATAAACTCCCTTTGATAATAGCTCTAGCTTGCAATAAAGCAGAAATTGCATTATAATACTCATTCGTGCTCACTGTGTATACAAAAAGAAAATGTAATTTTAATTTGCTTATATTAATTAAAATATAATGAATTAAGTGACTAACAAATTCATTAGAAATTGAACTTTGACTGTCTAATTGTTAATTGTTTTAACATTACCCAGAAAAAAGAAAATATTAGCAAATCAAGAATTCCAAGGATTCAAGAGTTGAGATTGATTTTCATAAAGTACACATAAATCAAGCACCAAAAAATTTATACTTTACTAAAGCAAGCTGAAAATTTAATAAACCTAATATACTAATAAATATGTGAAACACAGCTATTTAAAAATACATCTTTACACATGGATTAAAGTCCTTTGAGAAAATTAGCATAATTCATCCAAAAACCGAAGTACTAAAAGGATCCATATATAGAGTTACATATAGAAATATGAAATCTAAAGAGGAGAAATGGGAGAAAGAAAAGCAATTATTTTATGTTGTTATTTTAGATTTATTTAAAAAGCCAAAAGTTTTCTTAAG